CTTGAAAACTTAGCTGAATAAAGATGTGAAGCCAATGCATTATTCATTGATACATTGAGAGAATACAAGAATGCACTTTCTGTCCTTGATTGGGTCAGAAGTGATGCTCAAAACAAATAAAGTACTTTAATAGAGAAGAGTCATATTGGAGATTATGCAGAGAAATTAAGCAAATATGCTAATCTATTTGAAGAATAAGCTGTCTCAGATTTTGTTAAATTAGGTGAAGAACAAACTTCATTTGCTTAAACAAGTAAAACCATAATAGTAGCTAATTAATTTAGGATAACATGGTAATGGTGAATAAATAGCTTCATTAGTAGAAAAAGATGTTGTAGCAATTATTTAATAATTAATTGAAAAATTAAGAGAAACTATCAAAAGTCTTGAAGAATAAGAAATTCAATCTGCCAATGATTTTGCTGATTTTAAGACTAATTTATTAGCAGAATAAGAATCTCTCAAATAAGAATATGATGCTAAAGCAAAATTTTTGAATTCCTTATAAAATGATAAAGAACTAGCATCAGATATCTTAACTAAAAAGAAAGAACTATAAGATTAAAGTATGAGAATCTTAAGTTTAACTTAAGGTATATTGAACTTTTAATTAATTTAGAGGAATATAACTATAAAAAGAAATTATATAACTCTGAAAAAACAAAAAGACATGAAGAAAATTAGTTATTAGAAGAATCACTTCTAATCTATAGAGAAAAGATTGCTACTGTTAATGAATACTTGAAAAAGAGAGTCAACGAGTATGTTGGAGAATCTTTAATCGAAGAACATGCTGTTAGCAATCAAGCTCCAGTTCAAAATAGAAAAGGAAAATAATGATAAAAAAACACACATTAAAATTATAATTATTCTAAAAGTTGCATTTTTAATTTAATATAATTTTTTTTAGTCTTAAATAAATGAAAAATTAATCATTCCAAACTTATTCTAATGCTACAATGTCTTTGGTGCTGATCTGTTCATCTATTTTTATTCGATCAGACTCAAATCATCTTTTCATTATTTTAAGACATTGATTTTACAATCAAATTTATATCTTAATTCTTTATATTGAACTTTTCTAGAAGCCTTTATGATATATTACTGTTTTATTTTATATTACTGCCTAATAATCTTTATTGAATATTTTTTCTTGTTAAACAATCAATTTTTTTATCTTATTTGAATATTGATTAATTAATATTCGCTCTTCACATGATTATAATTCATCTCACCCTATGTTTATTTATTTAAAATGAATTATTTTAGAATATTTTAAGTTAATCAATTTTTAATCTTAGATTTAAATACTAAAGTATCACATAATAGTTATTCAAATATATTAAAGTATTCTTTAAAATTATCTTTTGCGCAGTAAATTTTTTCTACCTTAGAGAAATGAAATTCAAACATAAGAATCAAAAGTTATTGATAAAAATAAATCCTATTATGATTTTTCTGTTCCTCTCAAGTTTTTATTATATTTAATTTATCATATAATAATTTTAATTTTCTTTGTATTCAATTATTAAACAAATGAAATATTTACTACATTAATGCAAAAATATAATGCGTTAAATAGTTCTCCCTGCTCATCAAATAGATTAAATTTCTTTATTAATTTATTAATCTTCATTTTCTTGATTTTATTTTTTTGATTTTCTTTAAACCTACTCCAATTTTTAATCATTTTCAATATAGATCAATTAATGTGTATATAAATATTATTGTACTATGTTTATTAATGATATCAATAGAAGAAACCAAGGATTTTGCCTCCAATGTGTCTTTATCTAGCTTCTTCATGTGTTAAAATTCCTACATTAGTAGTTAGTACAACACAACCAAACTATCTGGCTGGGAGAATGTTATTAGCCCATCTTTCAAATTCTCCCAATGTAACATCATATCTGGGTGAGATCACACCACATTTATTGATGCGTCCTAACATTTTTTCAATTGTTACCCAATAGTTCAACAACAATCTTGCCACTTCTATGATCATCAACAATTTCAAATTCACCAATGTACCCATGTCTTTGCATAACTTATAAGAACTTCACAACCAATTTTGATGTAGGTCTAATCAACACTTACTTTCTTCCTTATCTTAAATATGTTAGGACAAAAACTACAACCTTTCAGCATTCACAATAGATCGGAGGCAATCATTCAAAACATTCATTTTCACCATTCGTCAATAAATTTTTTTTTTTAATTTTTTAAATCTTATTTTAATATATTTTATGTGCAAAATCCCCTGTATTCTTTTCGAAATTCATATTATTTTTAGTAAATCAAGTATCTAGATTTATATTTCACTTTCTAATTTACTTAAATTAGACTTTATCAATGAGTCTTTTTCAAAATTTTTGTTTTTTCATATCATTCGATTTTTTTTAGTATTCATACCCTAAAGAGAGCATCACAATAAAGTGTTCTTTCTCATTAGAAATTAAATAAAATATTCTTAAATTTCTTAATAATTTTTTACACAAATTTTCAGATGAATGCTAATTAAGAATTTCTCTGTTTTGAGTAAAATGAAGAAATAAGTAAATAACTAATAAACTTTAATTGAGTGAAGGGATTAGCATAATCGAACAAATATACTGAAATAATCGAATTTTGTGATCGTCAGATAGCTTTAATTCAGGTAGCATAAATTGTTCAATAAGATAGCTCAGGTTTAATTTTTATTTTATTAAGCATTAAAATAGAGGAACCCCTTGATTTTTGCAAGGTAAGTAGTTAATCAAGCGGGAGTTTCATCCTTGCTAAAATTGATTCTTATGTTTCAAAATTTCAGATTGAAAGTGCATATGAATTTTATTTTAAAAAGAAAAGTATATGCAATGTAATTTAGTAAAAACCCTACGCATTTTAGAATATTATTAAGAAGCAATCCAATGCCGACAATTAATGAATAGTCTATTGGTAAAAAATAATTCTTAACACTTTTAAACATTAATTGAATTAGGTAAATTTCACAATATGATTAGCCTCATCATTATATAAGTAGGGGAAGGTAGAAGAGTTTATTTAATAGTTGGGTCTAGATATTGAGTCAAACAAAAAAGACATTTAATACTATAAATAATTAGGTTTAATGTTTAAATATTTTTAAGTGAAGAATCTAAAGGATTAAGGTTTAATTGAAGAAGCTATTGCTTGTTTAGATTATGGAATATAAAACAATTAAACTCTAGAGAAATTTAAACTTAAAAAAGGTTTTATTATTATTTTATATTTCTAAGCAAAGAATCTAATTTATAAAGAATAATATGAACAAGCAAAAAAAAACATAAATTAAGTATTGTGATAAAGATGAATAAATCAACATTAAAAAATCAATAATTTTATATTTATTAAATGAAGCAATCTTTCCATATTCTAAGATAAATTGGACAATCAAATGTTTATAATGATTTACTATTTGATATTATGAATTTTTAAATAAGTAAAAGTCTAGATATATTTTAGTTATATTTAAAATACTAATGTATTGACAAAATCATTAAAAAGTAAGAATACGAGATGATATTACAAATTTAATCAAAACAATATGTCAATTCGAATTTATTATAATAGATGATGATTGTTTAAAAGGACGATATGAAATTGCATTATCAAAATGGCCTAGAATTTTTCAACAACCTATAAAATTTAAAAATGATTAATTAATTAAAACAACAACGCTTTAATGAAACAGAAGAGTAAATTTTAAATATAAGTATGTAATTGTTGAGTCAATAAATAATGTTAGTAGTGATGAAGTTGGGTTGAAACAATGAATAAAAGTAATGCTTATTACCTTGACACATTGTAATAAAAAGAATCATATCTTGATGCAACTAATATGTTTATATATTTATCAAATAAAAATTTAACTATATTGTTCAGATAGTTTGTGAACCAATAGATAATTAGCATCTATAGAATTATTAAACGATGATAAAAATAGGAAATTTTGAATTATTTTGGAGAGAGCAACCAAAAAAAAATGTTTAAAGTTTACCTTATTAGATTATTAGGTTTGAATAAATTAATATAAAATTTTTATAAAATATAATTGTAATTGGTAAAAAATTTTAAAATGTTTGAATTTTTGAGTCCTAAAATATGCAAGTCTTTGATTTTTACAGATAGATTATAAATCAAATTATATAAAGAAAGATATAATTTAAAAGTTGTATATTAAATAAACTTAATAAATTTGAATTTACTTATGTCTGATTAATTCGACTAGTTACAAGAGGGAATAGTTCAAAATGAAGTGCCTGAATAGAGCGAATAGGAGCCTTTTGATTAAATAGCTCCAAGATAAAATAATGAGAAAAAACAAAATTTTTAAATTGAAGAAGAGGATGAATAAGATTAAAATCAACCGGTTAGTGCTATAAAAGAGGTTGTGAAGCCTGAAGAGAATAAAAAGAACGTATCTTAGATTAGCAACCCATTATAGCCCATAATGATAAATAAAGCAGAAACAAAGAGAATAGTACATCAGGCAGCATTAGAAAGAAAGACAGAAGCATTTGAATAAACAAAAAGTTATGAACTTCATAGATCTACATAAATTTATTAACATAGACAATTAGTTGATTCTGTTTGGGCAAGATTGTANTGATAAAGATGAATAAATCAACATTAAAAAATCAATAATTTTATATTTATTAAATGAAGCAATCTTTCCATATTCTAAGATAAATTGGACAATCAAATGTTTATAATGATTTACTATTTGATATTATGAATTTTTAAATAAGTAAAAGTCTAGATATATTTTAGTTATATTTAAAATACTAATGTATTGACAAAATCATTAAAAAGTAAGAATACGAGATGATATTACAAATTTAATCAAAACAATATGTCAATTCGAATTTATTATAATAGATGATGATTGTTTAAAAGGACGATATGAAATTGCATTATCAAAATGGCCTAGAATTTTTCAACAACCTATAAAATTTAAAAATGATTAATTAATTAAAACAACAACGCTTTAATGAAACAGAAGAGTAAATTTTAAATATAAGTATGTAATTGTTGAGTCAATAAATAATGTTAGTAGTGATGAAGTTGGGTTGAAACAATGAATAAAAGTAATGCTTATTACCTTGACACATTGTAATAAAAAGAATCATATCTTGATGCAACTAATATGTTTATATATTTATCAAATAAAAATTTAACTATATTGTTCAGATAGTTTGTGAACCAATAGATAATTAGCATCTATAGAATTATTAAACGATGATAAAAATAGGAAATTTTGAATTATTTTGGAGAGAGCAACCAAAAAAAAATGTTTAAAGTTTACCTTATTAGATTATTAGGTTTGAATAAATTAATATAAAATTTTTATAAAATATAATTGTAATTGGTAAAAAATTTTAAAATGTTTGAATTTTTGAGTCCTAAAATATGCAAGTCTTTGATTTTTACAGATAGATTATAAATCAAATTATATAAAGAAAGATATAATTTAAAAGTTGTATATTAAATAAACTTAATAAATTTGAATTTACTTATGTCTGATTAATTCGACTAGTTACAAGAGGGAATAGTTCAAAATGAAGTGCCTGAATAGAGCGAATAGGAGCCTTTTGATTAAATAGCTCCAAGATAAAATAATGAGAAAAAACAAAATTTTTAAATTGAAGAAGAGGATGAATAAGATTAAAATCAACCGGTTAGTGCTATAAAAGAGGTTGTGAAGCCTGAAGAGAATAAAAAGAACGTATCTTAGATTAGCAACCCATTATAGCCCATAATGATAAATAAAGCAGAAACAAAGAGAATAGTACATCAGGCAGCATTAGAAAGAAAGACAGAAGCATTTGAATAAACAAAAAGTTATGAACTTCATAGATCTACATAAATTTATTAACATAGACAATTAGTTGATTCTGTTTGGGCAAGATTGTAGAAAGTAGTAGCTTCATCAGATGAATCTATGAAATTTTTAGTTTCATATATGAGATCGAGAATTGAATAAGAAGAATAACAATTGAAATACTCTTAAACAGCTTAATTAAGTAAATTGTTTAAGGATTTTGGTAATAGAGACTTATAATCATAATTTTAGATGGAAAGATCATGTAATGCAATTATCCTGAATTTTCTAAAGCAGTAAGAACAATGGATTCTGCAATGGAAAGATAAACAGATTAAATTAAAATTTTTATTGTTTGGATGTAAAATTAAACTAGAGAAAGATTGGAATAAGAAATGAATAATTTTACTAATTAAAATAGGGGTATCAATAAAATTAAAATATTTAGAATTGCTTAATACATATAATAGATTCAAAAAGACCTTAATGGATTTAGACAAAGAAGTACTAAAATATTTTAATAAATATGATAAAATGTATTAAAATATGACTGTTAAGGGAAAAAAGCCATAAAAAGATTTTTTAAGAGCAGAATTAAAGTATAAATAAGTAAGTCATGATAATTGAATATGTTTAGGCTGCTTCAAGAGTAATAGTATATTAAAGAGAATTTGGAACATGGCTATTAAATAGTTGGAATGAAATAAAGTTATTAGAAACTTAAAGGTTAGATTTGGTCACACATACTTTAATAGAGTTTTAGAATTAAATAATGAACGTTTATGGTAAAATTGCCTAATAAGATTAAATACTTGGATCCTTGAGTGGAGTTAAGGTGTAATAAGAAGTTTAGACTTTGTATTCACCTGATTTTGTGTTAACAAAATAAGAATTAGAATTTATTTAGACAGAATAATAATAGGAATTAGTAAAATATTTTTAAAATTTCTAAGTAAATATTGTAGATATAAAGTATAGGTTATTGATAAATATGCAGAATTATCTCATCCTTTAATTTTAAAGTAGTTTTCAGCTTAGAGAGATGTTGGAACTATTGGAAAGACTTGGATAGAAACAGGAATAATAATTACAGTTGATCATTATTTTTTGACTTTTGATGGGAAGCCAACTAGATTTTCAAAACCAGAGAATAAATATCCACTTGATGGAATGAAAATGAATACAAGAAATCCTTTAGAATTAGAGATTTTATTTGTAATTCCTGGATTAGTAATGGATTCTAAGAAGAAGTTGCTAATTCAATTTAAGAAATCAGATGAATTGGAAGAAATGATGTATTTCTTAGAAACAGTTGGGCAAAATAAATTTGCTTTAAATTGAAATATGTCAAGCATGATATAATATGAATAGTTATAAAATAATAAATGAAATCAAAAGGCTAGCTTTAATCAGATGATGATTTTGATACTCTGGGATCATATACATCAATGACCTATGAAGATAAAACAATCGAAGTAATACAATACAGAAAGGAGAATTTCTTTCAGTTTGGATCTTCTATATTAGCTGTATTATATATGGCTAATACTATGTTGATTCCTAATATGAATTAACTTTTTATTGATATATCTTTTGATAATCCTTTAAAAATGGTTATTTCAGTGGTAATTTATTGGTTACTCTCATTTTTAATTTTGATACCATGTTATTTGGTTATTTAAATATGCAAATAAGAAAGCAATCCTATTTATGCACATATAATCAGATAAGATTCAACTAAAATCTATCATGCATTCATATATTGTAATTTAATAATAAATACACTTGGATTATTTAATATTATTGTTAGATTGGGTGATAGTTTACCTAAAGTTAATAGATGGTTTTATAATGAATTTCACAGTCTAATGGCTTCATAACAATCAGAATTGTTCTTCCCTACTATCATTTGTTATTCAGCAGTAGTTTTAGTATTATTTTATGGATTTTATAAATTTTCATATTTTGAACATTACTATGATATTCAATATAGACTCATAATATCATTTGCAGGTAAATTATTTCTGAATACATTAATATTCATATTGATTTATTATGAAGTACCTGATGCAAGTTAGGAATATATATAAATGGATGAAAAGTAAATATTTATAGAATAATTATAGTTTATTTGATTCAGATTTTTCTAATAGTGCTACAGAATGGATTACTTATACATTTAATCAAATTTGTTGTATTTCATACCCATTCTTTGAAGTATTCTATCTCAAAAGAGAAACTAAAAAAGGTTATTAAAAAGTTTAGTAATGTTATTGGATCTAATTGTTACTAAGATCTTTGATATTTTTTTATTAAATTACTACTTGGGGTATCATTATCAGATAGCAAAAGATGAAGTATTATTATTAGCCATTATTGTAATCTTTAAATTCGTTATTGATTTTCCTGATATCCATGTCAATAACATCAATATATTCACATAACTATACTTTAAATAAAGAATTACTCGAAAATAATATATAGACTGCAACAGATGAAGATAATAAAAAATAAATTAAAGAAATTTATTTAATTGCAGCTGGGATATTTTTATTTTAAATATGTATTTGCATTATTTGCAGATGTTTTATTTAGAATTTCGAAGTTCCACAAATTAAATCATTTATTTTCTCATTATCCTATAGTGTTTAAACTATATGTTTTGGCTTTTCATGTATCAGCATACCAGTTTATTTGTGGATTAAAAATTTTGATCCTCAATCCAAAATATTTAAAGTTATGGCTTATTTAGCCATAATAGTCTATATGATAGTTTTTATTGGAATTAGTAGTGAACCATTTTTTTCATTTAAAAAGTGATTGACTTTATATTGAATTTTAATCAACTTATGCTATTAAAATATATTTTTAAATTATAAAATAAATCAACTAATGAATTTAATTAATCAACTTAAATTTTAGTTAATCTTTAAGGATAATGTTCTTAAGTTCAAATTTATAGGAAAGATCACTAATCACTAGATAATTATATCTCATTTTAGTTGATTGATTATGAATTTAACATATTATTAATATATATTGATCAAAATTTTCTAAAAGTTTATGAAAATTGAGCAGGATTAATAATACAAATAAATAATTTTTAATTTTAAACTTTTTTTATTAGCTACTTTACTATATAAAATTCTTATTAAAATTATAGAAAGTAAAATATGAAGAATATTTAAACTTTATTTAAAATAAAAATTATCTGAATGAATAGAAGATTTGAAAAAATTAAACTAGAAGAATAAGGAAGAAAAAGAAAAAGTATTTATTCTATTATTTATATTTTAGGAATTACAAGAATAAGAAGTTGAAAAATTAAGAGAATTTTATAATTAAGGATGAAGAATGTTATTTAAATTAATTTTGAATGAATTAATGGAAAGAAAGGAGTTATATGTTCTAGTGCTTAGAATATGAAACACAATAAACCAAAAGAAATGACTAATAAAAATTTAAATAAAATTAAATCTTAAATTAATTCATGGGACGTATGTAAGCTAAGGGAAAGGGAAAGGGTATTTCTGGTTCAGCCCTCCCATATAAGAGAAAAGCACCAAAATGGTTGACATTATCATCTAAATCAATCGTTGATCAAATTGTTAATTTAGCAAAGAAAGGTTTTAATTAATTCTTAATATTTCCTTTAGGTCTTAATGCTTCATAAATTGGTGTTTATTTAAGAGATCAATAAGGTATTCCTTAAACCAGATTCTTAACAGGCCAAAAGATTTTAAGAATTCTCAAAAAGAGAGGTATTATACATCAATATTCTAAGGATGTGCTCCTAAAATTCCAGAAGACTTATATGCTTTGATTAAGAAGGCTGTTTAAATCAGAAAGCACTTAGAAAAAAATAGAGGAGATGTAACAAGCAAATTCAGATTGATTTTGGTTGAAAGCAGAATTCATAGACTCAGCAGATATTACAGAAGAACATAAAAATTACCATCAAACTGGAAATAGTACATATAATGTTTTATATTTAAGTGTCTCAAAGACTGCATCAGCCTTAATTGGTTAATGAGTTAAAATACAAATACAATATTGCATATATATTCTAATATTTATAAATAACAATATTTTAAATCTTCTTTTAGTACAACATTATTATACACTCTTAAATTTTTTGATATCATTATTCCAATTATATAAAGGTTCAAATGAATTTTGATCAAAAATTTTATAAGGTATATAAAGTTAGGTTTTATATAAAAATTAATAATTTATGGTTACAAATCATAATAATATCACAATCAGTATCAGATTTTCTAAAAGATTAAATAAAAAGGGTTTATATAAAAAATAATTTATAAATAAAATATGGTTTGTGGATTAATACATACTTTTAAAAATTGAAATTTGTTTAAACTAAAAATTAGATGTGCCGAATATTTTTTTATTATATGAAGGGAAAAGAAAAACTTTAAATTTTTAATTGTCAATTTTCATATATTTTCTAATAAAAAAAAGATTATAAATATATGAAATAAAATCTGTAAAGTTAAAATTCTTAAAAATATGTATCCTATTTATTGTATATTTACATTTAATGATTGAAATATTTAATATGTATAAAAATGAAGTCTGATTACTTTACTATAAAATATTGAACTATTTATATAATTCACAAAAAAAAGTTATGATTAAAAGATTTGTTAATTAATTAGGAATTTATAAATAAAAGTACAAAGCACATAATTGTATATATGTTTAGTAAATAGAATTATTAAATTTTTTATTATTATCAATAAATATGATAATATTGATCATTTGTTATGTATTTATTCCCACCAAGGTACTTTTTAGAAAGTGTTCTTTCCACTATAAATTTTTTAGATAAATTTATTGTAAATGTCTCCATCACTAGATCCAAAAATTGAACCTAAGATTTCATCAGGTGGAGCTAATGCATCAATAATTCCTATAGCTTCATCTTTTAATTGATTACTTAAATTCATCAATAATTTTTTAACAGTTGCATCAGAAATGTTAAATTCTAAGATAAAGAAAATAAATTACCATTATTTTTATAGAGTTCAATATCATTTTCTAATATTGTCAAAGACCATATTTGAAAGGCTTTTTCTAAGACTTTATCATTATGAATATTAAGTAATTACCATTATTAGAAACAATATAAATCTGCATAGGAATTTGAAATTTATTATCCTTTAAATGCAAAGGATAGATTCCAAGATTTCAACATATCATTAGTATTTAAGTTTGAATTCAAATCTAACATAAAGTCAGTTAATTATTTATCGAATTTGTATTCTAAAAGATATTTAATATTATTAGGACAAAGGTAATCAACATCATTTTATAATTTAATAGTTTTAAGTTTGAATGTTTCAAGAAATTTGAGAGATGGATATTAAATGGGTTTTTGATTATTGACAAACTTATTTTTTTAATCCATACAGAATTTCAAAGTTTATTAAATTAAAACATTAGAATCTCCTTCCCATGTATTATTAATATCTTAATCTTATAACATAACTCCTAATCTATTAAATGAATGATAGCCATGACCACCTAAAATTTGTCTACATTCTAAAATAACTTTATTAGCAAAAGTAGCAAATTTACCCTTTAAAACACTAGATAAGGCATGGATTTCAGCCATTTTATTAGGATTGAAAACATTATTTTAAGTAGTATCCCATAGATTATTAATAGCTTTAGCAGCAATCATATAAACTAACGTAGATGCTAAAGGAACAATTAACCTAAGTTAGGTGAGAGGATATTCAAGAATGCTTTATTCTTTTTCTCCAGGTAATCCAAATTATTTTCTGATAGCAGCATATCTAATTCCAATTGTAAGTGCATTTAATGATGTAACAGCTCCATAATAAGTTAAAATGATTCTACCTCCAGATAATGAAGCTAATTAAACAGCAAATCTTTTATCTGGATCTTCTATACTACTCTTAAATTCTCCTTAAGGTGTAACTGTGGCAAATTTATCTAACATATTGGCAAGGGGTACTCTGACATTTCTGAAAATCAAAAAACCATTATCTATTCCATTTAATCCATTTTTTGGACCACAATCTCCAATAGTAATTCCACTTTTTACATTGTGATTCGATTTATCTCTAATTTCAACTAAAAATGCATGAACTCCATATTATTTGCCATCAATATATAGTTAAGCAAATACAACAGTCATATTAGCTAAATTGGCAGTTGCTCCAATCCAAAATTTAGTTGCTAAATCTGTTGGTGTATTAATAATGAAAGTTTAAGTTTCTTTATCATAAATAGCAGTAGTTTAGATTTATCTTACATTAGAACCATGTCCTAATTCAGTAAGACTAAAACTACCAATATCTGTAAGTGTTTATGCATTTTCAAAGTATTACTTATGTTTATCTGTTCCTAAATTAAGAATGGTTTTAGTATATAAAGAAAAATGAACTCCAAATTTAACACAAACTGCAGGATCGAAACTATACATGGCAACAGATGTTATTGTTACTATATTTGGATCAGATAAAAATAAGTCATATGTCACACCAAGTTTTTAATGAAAATGTCTCATAGCCTAAAATGAATGATATCTCTATTCTTCTCTTGTAGATTCCTCAAGATGATGATGTTTGAAAACATGTTAATTATCTTTCACTATATCAAATAAGTTCTATCGATATTTCCAATTTTGACCATAGAATAATTCAATGTATTTTTATTTATCTATTGTACTCAACTTTCTATAATGTTGCAGAGATTCAGAAGGATTAGATACTTATTCATTCATTTCTTTGTATGCTTCAAATTAATGTTGCAACAATTTCACTCTTTATTCTGAGCTCATCAAATTATTATTAATAAATCACTAATTCTAATTTATAGCTTAAATGTATGTAAATTCAATATAAATTTATATCAAAATTTTCTAAAATTCCTATTCTTTTTATCATTCATTAGGATTGTTCAAACATAATAGAATTTATAATGTGATAATTCAATATTTGTAATTTAATTATATCATATCATTTACTTTTTTTTTTATGGATTGTAAATATTCAAAATACCATAATTATCTTTCAGTTTTTTTTCATAATAATTGTTTGAAGTACCAAACAAATAATCCCAAAAAATAAAGAACGATCCAAAATTACCATTATTATGACTGTGATGATATGAGTGGAATTCAGAAAATGCTAAAAATGGAATATATTAAAAGATTTCCCAAGGAAATACATATCCTGAATGTGCAGATAATGTTTTATACACTCTGATTCCTATCCAAATCAACATTGTCATCATATGTAATTTTTCATTCAATATTCTTGGACCAATAATAAATGGAAGAAGATTACTCAATAAATATTCTAAAACTGTTGAATATTCTGCCGATATAGAGATTGTAACAATGTATTGATGGTGTTATTTATGATATTTATAAAGTGCTGGTAAATGTAATAAGCGATGTGTCCAATAAAATCCAATATCTTCGATTAATATACAGAATAGAAACTAAGGTATCATTTCCCATATATTAGGAAGAGATTGACGATCAAATCTTTAAGTTTATAATTTAGAATACATACCTATATTTAACACCAGTTAAACCAAAAGTCATAGCTAATAGTATGCCAATTATAAGATTAATGAAAAAGTTGATAAAAGTCTCATTTTTCAATTTATTCCATTCTTGTTTATCTGTTTGCCACGGCCAAGGTTTCTAAAGTGAAATACTTGCTTACTTTTTCAATTTTATATTATTCAAAGAAAGGATGGTTGAGATAATAGATGACACCATAGGATGCATTAACTATGATGTAAACAATTATGTGCATAGCTTGCATGCTTATTATTTGAAACCAATATTCTATAAAATTGGTTATAATAATATACTATTTTCAACATGTTCTGGCCAATAATGTTTAAGGAGTTCAGGTACGAAAATAAAATATGATGTAAATGTGATAATCGCTATAATGAAGTATAACATTTTAATTTTTTTATAATAAATTTTATAAATGTAAAGAAGCTAAAACGAAGATGATAAACCTTTGATTCCACTGCCTTAAGCAACAGAATAAAAGAGATTAGAGAAATTGGCATATGAAAAACAAATGGCCAGAGTTACATTGCTTAAATAAACACAATAGAAGAATTTACATTTAGTATTATGTAACTTTGAATAGATAGGCTAAATTGTATGAGATGGCAGCAGAAAAAATAGAAAATGGATAATCAGTGAAGAAATAATTACGAGATCTAGCTGAGGAAGCACGATAATTAAAGGAAGATGATATGAAAAGGAGAAAACATCAAATCAAATAGATTAGAAAACATGAAGAAGACTTTATTTTAAAACGAGCTGTTAATTAAAAGATTGGGTATGCGTGGTGAGTGTAATTAGCGATTCCATGAAGTAATCCTCAGTTAAGGAGTACAAGAGTGCCATCAAGTTGACTCTATCAAGAACAAGAGATTGTATACTACAAGGCAATTAAAAGATTCGAGAGATACTTTATCAAGAAGAAAAGAAGAGGAAAGAAAAAAAAGAAGAAGCCAAAAAATTAGATGAAATCAAATCACAACAATTTTACAAGGAAAGAGTTTCTTATGAAAAAATGATTGAAGAAAAATTAAAAAAGTCTAGAGAAAAACTCTTTTAAGATGAACAACTTTTGCAAAGTCGCTTATAAGTAAAATACTCTTTATAAAACTAATAGGAAACTTAAACTTTGCTTAGTAAATCTTAAAAGAAATTCATGGAACTTTAGTCCCAAAGTGTACACAGCAAAAGATGAGTAGCAATATAAATATTATATTATTATTAATCAATTATAACTATTATTATTACCCTTAACCTTTTATATCAAATCAAAAACTATTTCGATTTTATTACTTGACATCAATCTAAAAATTACTTCTCATAGAATTCAATTTTAATAATATAATATCCATAAACATGGCGAATAAATAATTTAGATTGTGTGTGTTAATTTTATAAATTTCAATTATTAACTGATTCCCTATAAAATTAAATGTATATTTTAATATAAAATATTAAAAAACAAATTATTTCTACATTACACATAAAATCAATACAAAACTACTTTCTAAAGTCTCAAAATTAAAATATTTAATTATACCTTCTTAGTTAATTTCTTTAAAAGTCTTGTACATGCAAAAAATGAACGAGTTAAACTACATTTATCCATGAAAGTAATTCGATCTCTTTTAGTATATTTTATTATACAGAAGCAAATGAAAATAAATTAGGCTCTCCTTTTAAAACAATATCTACAGTTTTAAGAACATATTTGAAATATAATCTAGACTTATTTTAAAATACATTTGAATTAAATAGAGAATTGAGTATTCAAAAATTTTAATTTGAAAAGAAAGAGTAAAATTAAATTTAGTTCTTTATAATATGAAATATGGATGACTTTTTTGTTTGTTATTTTTGGTAAGCTGAAATATTTAATAAATTTATTTAAATAATCAAGAATTATTAATATAATGGAATAAACAAAGGTAGAATAAAATGAGGAGATGGTGGGTTAATAACCTTAAACTCATCTAATATAATTAGATGTAGAAGAATAAATATAAGTTCCCATAAAGAGACCAGCACGAAAAACCTTTGGTGATTTAACAATAATATTTCTTTTTGAAACAATTGGCACAGGATTATTTGCTTATGGAATAGTAGCATCAAATGGATCAGATTTTTTAATTGCTGCTTATCTATATGCTGCCATATTTCTGACTTGTAAATTTACAGGAGGACATGTTAATCCAGCAGTGTCTTTCAGTTTTTATTGTGATGATACTATTAGTTCATGGACTTTAAGAATCTATTGGGCTGCATAATTATTGGGTGCAGTTGGAGGGGCTTGGATAGCTTATTTAATTTTAGGTGTAGTGACATCTCCAAGTATAAAAAGTACAAATATTGAATGGATGTTGGCAGATTTATGTGGAGAAGTACTATTTAATATTAATAATTTTGAAAGGCTTTAGGAACATTTATGTTTGTTCTTTTTATTCATATATAAGTCCATGAATAAACAAGATAAACGAATAATGAAATTGCAGGAATTGCTTGGATTGTATTAGGACTCTTTTTTTCTAGATAATTAACTTCTCATACAGGAGGTAATGATATATGAAAATGCAAGGTTGTCTTAATCCAGCTATGGGAGTTGGATTAGAATTATTTGAGGCATTTTGGTTGAATGACACTAATAAACTAGCTAATTTTTGGGTTTTTTTATTTGCTCCCTTATTCGGGGCATATATGGCATCTATTTTTTATAATTCAATCTATCTACCTTTAACAAAGAAATGATAATAATAATATATTATTCAAGCAATTAAAATAATTCATAATATTATTTATAATGATAGGAAAAGTTGAGATTTCATCTACTTAAGAACATAAACATCTTATAAATCAATCCTAAATCTCATTAACTCAATCTGGTATAAGTTTTTAACTAAAATTAAGGAGTGGATATAAATGGTCATTTTATAAAATATGATAATGTTATGATGATTGGAACAAGTGGATAATCTGTATTGTTATGTTTGAAAGCATAAGGATAAGAAGATGAAGATGATGGATAATTAGGGTTCACAATTATTCAATAATTGAATTCTCAATAATCAGGAATAAATATCTAAGGTAGTTTGACAGTTTAAATATGGTGTGAATAGAAAGACGATTTTGTTAAAGAATTCAAAAGACTCTAACAAGAATGTGTTTAAGAAAAAACATTAGAATAAATATTGAGTAGTGATGAAGAAGATGATGAAGATGATAATGTAGATTAATAAATGGAAATAGAATGATATGATAAATTCTTATAAAAGTGTATATGTAATTTAACTTGAGCTTTATTTTTGATTTCAAACATTTAACTAATCTTTATAAATAATATTTATGATAAATTAATGAAATAAATGAAGTTTTATTATTGTAATGAATATATATTAGAATCCGTTTTATGAATATGTTTTAATATAATAATAAAAATGATGAAATTCATTGCTTTAGCATTGATTGCTTCAACAGTATTGGCTGTTTAAAAGGATACAAAAACAGTATTGGCAGAAATTGATGCGGATAACTTTGGAAACTCAATTTTGTCAACAGTTTAAATGTACTTATAGGCAAAAGGAAATGCAGAAGAGATCTTGGTATTATTGAACCAATTACTTGCTGGATTAGTTGATGATTAAAATAAACATGACAATGTAATCAGAGTTGACAGAGCAGCATGTACAAGAATAGTGACAGATCTTGAAAATTCAATAGCTTATCATACAGCTTAAATAAGTGCAAATGCTTAAATGAGAGAAGACAATGAAAAAGCATTGGCAGAAGCTGAAAATGATGTTAGATAAACAATTTAAGTAAGGCAAATATTTAAATATAAAAAGGATATTGAAAGTAATGAAAGAACATTTGCATAAGAAGAAGCAAATAGAAATAAAGCTCATGAAACATGGGTAAGAAAGAATGGAGAACATGATGATGCTATAGCTGCTGTTGATGAAGCTACTAAATTGGTTTAACATCTTTCATTAGGTGCCACATTTGCTGAACTTAAACCTAAATTTGAAGCTGTTCAAAAGAGATTGATTGAAAATGAAAGTCATGGAGCATTATTCTAACCAATTGTTACAGCTCTTACAGAACTTGCTTCTAAGGTTGATTAAAAGGCTATTCAAAGAATACTTTAATTATTATCATAACTTAGATAATAATTAGTTGAAGCTAGATCAGTTTTAGAAGTATTATTAATTATCTATAATCTAGGATACTGAAAATAGATAAGCATAAAGATGGGTTGAATTTTCAACACATTTGAGCAATGAACATAATAGATTAGTAGAAAGAAAGAATTAATTAGAATAATCAATTTAAACATTCAAAACCAATATTGAAACAGCTACTCATTTCTTTGAAGTTCATACTGTATTTTTATTCTCTTATATTATATAGTTGGAATAAGAATCAGCCTAAGAAACTCTTGATGCAGAAAATGAATGGTGTGCTTCTTAAGAAAATACATATTCAACTCAATCAACTGAGAGATAAAGATAATAAGAAATCGTTGAAAGAATATTAGAACACTTGACTGATAAATTAACCGCTACCTCATAATACCTTGGAGGAAGATTCTGATCAGATATCATATAAATAAATATAATATTAATATGCGATAACAATAAATTAAATAATCAATTCATATTCTTACATATTGAATATCAATTAACAACCTTTAGATTTATTCAGGGCAATTCACTTACAACAAAATTGTATAAAAATAATCTAAGTTAAATTGATTTAGAACTCTCAGAATAATTACTAATAACATCCAAAAACAAAAACTGATCTTGTAATCATACTTAATATTCATGACAGACAAAAATAAGTATATTTTTATTTTTAGAATCAGTTGAAACAAATTTATTTAGAAGGATTTAATATATTCAATACATGAAAATAGAAAATATGGTAAATTTGTTTTGAAAATTAAAATTGAAAAACTATTGTCAATTCTTGCCCAAAAAATTAAAATTAGATTTACTAAACTAAACATGTTTGAGAATTCATTTTGCTTTCCATATAAATAGATTTAATAGATTCTTTTAAATAAGAAGTCTAAAAAAACCTTTAAATTGATAATATTATATTTAATCTAATATATTTTAATAGAATATAAAAATCCATAATCATTAATTTCTTCATGTACGAATCTCATCAACATAACCACTAAATATATTTTTAGCTGAACTAAACATATCTGATATAGCATACTATCTGAATCTTGAAATACGTTTACCTAAATAATTGTATAATTAAATACCTGCACTTTCCATATAATTCCCCGAAGCATCAGTTCCAATAAACGAGATATAAAATTTGGCATCGCAATCTACTTCTTTAGTGCATTCTTTATAATAATTATTTGAATCGCTAAATATTTCTCCTTTTGAATTTGTTACATTATAATCTGAGCATTCCATACTTGAATCCCAACAACCATTATCCCAGATCAGATCTGTAACATTTCCATCTTACATATTAATAACTAAACTGTATATGGGGTACACATTAGTTGAATTTATGACATAATTCAGTTATGGAGATATTAATGCATGCTTATTAACTTATATAGCAATAGAATGATTTGTTAATCCATCCACTTTTAAAGTTGAATAACTATTCTTAGCATACAATGCAGTGTAACGATCCACTTTTACATCGAATGCTAATCTTTTGCCAATTTATTTAATAATATCTATAAAGTGAATACATATTGTTAAATGATCTCCCCTTGTATAAGTTTCATTCACATCATTAGAGACACATTTTAAATCTAAACAATTGAATGTATGAATTAGTATCAACAATAGTAACATTAATTATTTTATTATATATTAATTAATGTTAAATACTGATTTTAAAATGCAATTCCTAATCTAAGAAAATTAATATTAAATAAAATAATAGTCTGAAGATTATTTCTGTTTTAGAATATGTCTTATAATTTTTATTTTTTATTTTTTTAATATATAATAATATTACTTTTAATCTCACCATGTAAGTTGGAATGAATAAATTTGGTTTTTCTTTTGAAAAAAAGATTGGAAGTGGTTCATTTGGATAGATATTTCTAGGTATTAAATGAAACTTAATCATAGGTATTAATAATAAAACAGGATAAGAAGTTGCTATTAAACTAGTAAAATGATAATGTTTAATTTAGGAAATAGCAACTATAAAGCATCCATAATTATGGTTTGAAGGAAAACTTTATAAATTATTATAAGGAGGAGGTAATATTGATAATATATTTAAAAGATGGCATACCTTTAACATATTGGTTTGGTAGTGAAAATGAATATAATATACTTGTGATGGAATTATTAGGTGCTAATTTGGAAGAATTATTTAATTAATGTAAGAGAAAATTCTCTTTGAAAACAGTTTTAATGATTGGTTAACAAATGATAACTAGAATTGAATTTTTACACAATAAAAATTTTATTCATAGAGATATAAAGCCAGATAATTTTCTTATAGGTATAGATAAGAAATGCACAATAATTTATATGATTGATTTTGGATTATCAAAAAAATATCGAGATTCAAGGACAAGTATGTAATTAATAAATAATATTAAAGATCTACATATTCCTTACAGAGATGGAAAAAGTTTAACAGGAACAGCTAGATATGCTAGTATCAATACTCATTTAGGAGTTGAATAAAGTAGAAGAGATGATTTAGAAGCAATTGGTTACGTTTTAGTGTATTTTTTGAATGGTTAATTACCATGGTAAGGATTGAAAACAGATAATAAAACAGATAAATATGAAAAAATAGCATAATGTAAAATTGGAACAACAGTTGAAAAACTTTGTGAAGGTTTACCAGAAGAATTTTCAATTTATTTAAATTATTGCTAGAGTTTAAAATTTGAAGAAAGACCTGATTATGTTTGGTTAAGAAGACTTTTTAAAGATCTCTTTGTAAAGATGAAATATGTAAATGATAATCTTTTTGATTGGAGTACTCCTTTTGTATGATAAATTTTATTATTTTTATTATTATATTAAATACTCATAACAATGGAAAGAAGAGATGAAGATTGTAAATAAATAGGGCAATTTAATCAAAATGATGATAAATGTATTTATATCTCGTTCACCATATCATTTAATATATTATTTGGAAGTCTATTCTATTACTATTCACTTAATTCTAATAATGATACTTGTTCATGGTTGAAGTAAACTTCCATATATTTCACATTTTATTGCACTTGCAGCATTATATTATCCATTTTAACCTTTATTGGAAATAAGACATATAACTTTATCACAACTATGGAAGGTCTAATCAGATTGTTATTTTTGGTAGCGTTTTTGGTAAATTTAATATAACATTTAGATTGCCTATATCTATAGNGCATCCATAATTATGGTTTGAAGGAAAACTTTATAAATTATTATAAGGAGGAGGTAATATTGATAATATATTTAAAAGATGGCATACCTTTAACATATTGGTTTGGTAGTGAAAATGAATATAATATACTTGTGATGGAATTATTAGGTGCTAATTTGGAAGAATTATTTAATTAATGTAAGAGAAAATTCTCTTTGAAAACAGTTTTAATGATTGGTTAACAAATGATAACTAGAATTGAATTTTTACACAATAAAAATTTTATTCATAGAGATATAAAGCCAGATAATTTTCTTATAGGTATAGATAAGAAATGCACAATAATTTATATGATTGATTTTGGATTATCAAAAAAATATCGAGATTCAAGGACAAGTATGTAATTAATAAATAATATTAAAGATCTACATATTCCTTACAGAGATGGAAAAAGTTTAACAGGAACAGCTAGATATGCTAGTATCAATACTCATTTAGGAGTTGAATAAAGTAGAAGAGATGATTTAGAAGCAATTGGTTACGTTTTAGTGTATTTTTTGAATGGTTAATTACCATGGTAAGGATTGAAAACAGATAATAAAACAGATAAATATGAAAAAATAGCATAATGTAAAATTGGAACAACAGTTGAAAAACTTTGTGAAGGTTTACCAGAAGAATTTTCAATTTATTTAAATTATTGCTAGAGTTTAAAATTTGAAGAAAGACCTGATTATGTTTGGTTAAGAAGACTTTTTAAAGATCTCTTTGTAAAGATGAAATATGTAAATGATAATCTTTTTGATTGGAGTACTCCTTTTGTATGATAAATTTTATTATTTTTATTATTATATTAAATACTCATAACAATGGAAAGAAGAGATGAAGATTGTAAATAAATAGGGCAATTTAATCAAAATGATGATAAATGTATTTATATCTCGTTCACCATATCATTTAATATATTATTTGGAAGTCTATTCTATTACTATTCACTTAATTCTAATAATGATACTTGTTCATGGTTGAAGTAAACTTCCATATATTTCACATTTTATTGCACTTGCAGCATTATATTATCCATTTTAACCTTTATTGGAAATAAGACATATAACTTTATCACAACTATGGAAGGTCTAATCAGATTGTTATTTTTGGTAGCGTTTTTGGTAAATTTAATATAACATTTAGATTGCCTATATCTATAGTTTTTAATGTTATCATCTTTAATCGCTTACGTTATTATTTTTGACCTTACATGCATTAATATTTATTATTGCTTGTATGAAATCTCAAATCAATAAAACTAAATAACTATGAATTTTAATTTGTTTTTAGTTTATGACTTGTATTGCATGTATATTAATTAATTTTAAAATATACATTAATATGATTATTCTTGTTTTAATTTTCTAATTTAATATAATTCCTCCTCCTTTTTTCAAATTTAATTTCTTCTTCATTTTCACATTATTATGACATAATTGTTTTTAATACCTTATTTATAATCATTCTATATCTAGACAGTTAAAAATCTCATTGATCAAAATCAAAATAACATATAATCTAAATAAAAAAGAGCAATCTGTGATTCACTCTTTCCTTTTAAATATTAAAAATAGAATGGATTTTAATAATTATACTATAATCAATATCATCAACTTCCCTTAAATCAATAAAGTTAAGCTTTCTTTTACTCTCTCAGTATTTTTTTAGCCAATTCTTTCTTAAATTTCAGTAAATTTGAAGTGTTCTAATTATGGCTTATCCATTTTATTATTTTCAAGTTTTGTTTGGAATCTTTATTTATTACTGTTGTTGCAGAGTTATCCATATTTATTTAATATTAATAATAAAACTCCTATATAAACACTGAAAATTTTATATTATTTATTAAATAAAACTAAAAATAATGGAGACATCTTAAACTATGAATGATTGACTTCTTAAAAGTTAGATTTTCTAATAATTTATGTAATCATTTTAAATTTTTTTGCTTTATCAATAAAACTTATAAACTTATAAACTTATATAATATCAAAATATCTATTATATAAAAAGATAAAAGAAAAATTAGTTAGCTTTATTTAATAATTTTCTTTTTTCTTTGTAAATTTCCAAAAGAAATAATAAATTTTTATCTTAACTTATAGAAATTTATTATATTTTTATTATTTTAAGTTTTATTATATATAAATATATTATATATATTTTTATTTATGTACCCTAGAAAGATTAATAGAACTTTACATGTTGGAAAGAATATTTAAAAAGATGATTCTGTTAAATCTTTGATAATTGATAAATTGATTTAAGATTATGGAAAAAATAATTAATTGAATGTTAATGTAACTTGCTTAAATCTAAAAAATAGTTAATAATGTCTTATGTAGAAGATTTTTTTGCATGTTATAAAGCAAGTGAAGGAGCAGTTAGAGCACTCAAAGATGAAATCAAAGAAGCAATTTTAAGATCAGATAATGAAAAGCATTTAATGATTTAAAGATTAAATTAGCGTATATCTAGTAAAATTAGAAACTCATTATGGTAGGAAAGTAGAAAGAAGAATAATTAAAATAATTGACAAATCCAAAAAATAGAGTATCTTTGCCTGAAAGATTAGATGATGAGAAACTTTTATTAACAATGCAAAATAAAACAGATAACAATTCATAAATAAAATTGGTTAATACTCTACCAGCTGATATATTGGAAGAAAGAAGAAAATCAATTTATAAGGTTGATGGTTCTGTAGATGAATGGGCAGCAATTATAAAATATGATACTGTATAATTTTAGAAAGAATTGGAAGAATAAAAAAAACTCATGTTATTTAATAAATAAAAAATTAAAGAAGAATTAGATAGATAAGTTGCAGAAAAAGAATAAAGAAAATAAAAAGAAAAATAGGATGATTAAAATTATTTTGTTACAAGTTAACAATTATTAATCGAATTTGAAAAATAATAGGAGTTACTTAAAGAAAATAAAAAGAAATAATTATTATAAGAGAAAATCATTAGAGATTAACAAGTCAATGTAGATAAAAGAAAGAAGTAAGCATTTTATATGAAATAGAAAAGAGCAGAATTTAAATACAAAATAATAAGAAGAAGAAATGCTTGCAAAAGTAAAGGAAGAATTGAAAGTAGAAGATTAATAATAGAAACGTAAGAGATTAGAATAGAAGGAGAAATTCTAACAGATTTTAAAATAGAATGAAAACTTAAGGAAAAAAGTATACTGTATATGAAATATAGGCACAAGAAGAAATTATACAAAGCAAAGAATATGAAAAACTATTATAAGAATAGTTAGTAAAAAAAGAATAACTTGAAAATGAGAAAAAAGAGAAATTTAAAAAAGATTAAGAGGAGAAGATTTAATTATTAATGAATAATTATAGTGAATTTGTTATGAAAAATAAAAAAGAAGATAGATCATTAGATGATGATTATTGGATCAAAAAGAATAGTGAACATAACTTTTTGGATTTTAAAAATAAGAACAATAAAAAAGAATAATAACTTTAAGTTTCTTATGATTTAAAGTAATAAATTCTTGAAAAAAGAAGAAGATATACTTAAGAAGTAACAGAAAAAAAAATTCTATTTGAATAACAACTACAAGAATAAAAAGTATTAAAAAAACAAGATGAAGAAAGAAGAAATGTATATATTTTATATTTTCATTTTTATAGAATATTAGATAAATGTATATACTAAATGCTGAAGAACTTAAAAAATAAATGACAAAAGGTTATTTGAGTACATCTCCTAAAAGAAAATCAAGTCCAAATGAAAGAATGGTAGGAAATGAATTACTTCAAAATAAGAAAATACTTAAAAAAATTGCTAATGATAATTCTATCGGAATACCTATAAAAAAATAAGAGATATCTATTCCTGAATGAAAAATATCTATTTATTTTTCTGTCATTTCAGAAATTCCTCATCAATTTCATTATTAAAAATTAATTATGTATAAATAGAAATTCTTAAATTTAATAACATCTTCTCAACCTTCATTTTCTAAACTGATTTTCTATGTAAAATCAAATAATAATTTATTATATTAATACTAAATAACTTACATTTAGAAATAACTATATTTGATATTATTTTCAAACTAATGTTGAATTAATTTTTTTCTATCCTATTAAATTATTCAAATCCTCTCATAAATTAAATTTATTTTCCCAAAATTAAAGCTATAACTAAATTAAATTTTAAATTGAGAATATTATTTAGATTTGATAGGTTTTTGAAAATGTATAAATATTTTCATTGTAAATAGAATTAATTAAAGAAATTTGAACCAAATAGAAAAAAACTTAATTATGAATTAAAGAAAATTATAATGAATATTAAATATTTATCAAGTCAATAAAAAATCTAATAAATTTTTGATATTAAAAAGGCAAAAATAGTAAAAATTTCATTAACTTGAATCATGCCTAATTGTATGGAAAATAATTAATTCAAATAATTAAAGAAACTAAATGCTATTTAAAAAATAAATTATAGGAAATTTTATCAGAAATTCAAAATCACAAAATGAATTAAAAAGGAAAGTGAATCAACTTTAATAGAACTATAATAGCAAATTTATATATGTTACAATGATTTATATATTTTGAATTCATTAAAAAATTGTAATAAGATAGATTTTAAATGAACAAAAATTAAAAGAATTAAAAAAGAAAGGAATGCATTCTCCTTTTTAATTAGGATTATAGTAAAATTAGAAGAATATTAAGTAGATGATTATAGATGATTAATTAAAAATTAATAAGGGTATTTATTAATGCATAAAATAACTTGCAAATCAATCAGATGTTTATTCCAACTTTCCTAAAAATTCCATTGTTGTTTAAAGAGTTTCATTTTTTCTTTCAAAACATCTTGATAGACAGATTTTTTCTCTATCAGAAAGATCCTTTTTTTTGTAATCTTTGATACAAAATTTGCTGCAAACTTAGTAAATATTCATCAAGGACAATTTCATAGAGGTTGTAATTGACTACTTTATTCTTTCATTCTTTTATTAAACTGTAATGTTTTGATGAATATGGGTATCGTGATCAGACATTAATTATTAAATGAATTATAATTATAAATATCTCATACAATCGCCCAAAAAGCAAAATCAACCCAAGATCAGTCTTAAATATAGTACAGCAATAAATTTAGATCATATTCCAAAATTTAAATAAAGATCCCCAAGAAATTTAGCAAGATAAATAACAAATATTAGTCCAACAATTCCATTTAATAGCTCTAAAAACAAAAAAACTGTTGAAACCAAAAGCCGATCCCCATCATTAGAATCGAATTGGTTTAACATTAAAAAAATAAAAAAGAAAATTGATCCTTTTGAAAATCTAAATTATGGACACCCTAAAATATTTCAGAAATTATCTCCAGATTAAATGATTCCAACATAATTGTCTACACCAGTTACAGCTAAAGTTCAAAAAAGAATAGTAATTAAAAAGAAAACTGAGCCTGCTCGTATAGCTAGATCAAATACTCAATACTCAATAAGCAGATAAGAAATAAAAAATAACACATCTTCATCAAGAATAATTTAGAAAAGAGAAAATAAAAAAGAACCATCAGGAGAATTGAAGGGATGGCAAGGTTGGTATGTCTAACATTTTGATGATTTTATATGAATTTATTAAACTTAAACTACCCCTCATTTTTTTTAATACTTTATGAATTTAACAATTAAATTGTGTATTTTTGAGGAAATTAAAATATTCATAAATTTAATTAATAAAAATAAAATAATTAATTGTGATGACACTCTTAGGACACCTTCAGAGACATTTTTGTCAATGAGATGTTTGTTACCTGTCTGATCTAAATATACTATTCATACTATAAATAAGTTTCAGCCGAGCAATAATTATAATTATCTGAGCTAATTTAAAGCTCTTTGAATTTTTTTTATTTACCTCAAATCATTATTTTTGAAAAATTATTGAGACAGATATTCCGTTTTAGAGGATAGATTTTAAATAAAATTTTTGATCAAGTCATGACATTTTCTGCATTAAAGTTTATATTTTCCTAACCTTCAATTTAACTATTTATTCTTTTTTCATTGTTTTAAGTTCAAGTATCCAATTGTTTAATTTTCATCTTAAACAATAAAGTTTTTTTATTTGATAGATAATATTAGTTAGAGAATTTTTAAGCTCTCATCTATAAGGTTTATTTTCCATCAAAAATTACAATTTCAGTCATTAATACGCCATCTGCAAATCTCTTTTTTTTATTATTTTTAGATTTTGAAAGGTGAAAGTATCAACCCATAATTAAATATCATTAATTTCCTAATGAATTAAAGAAGATGCATCAATTTTACTCATTATTTAATTTTATATAAAGAGAATCAAAATTACTAGATATAATGATAATAAAAAAAATTTATTAAAGGAATAATGAACATTTTAAATAATGAAAGGTTGATGATTAAATGAATTTAAATAAATAAAAATTGCTTTTAAAAAGCCAAAATAAAAAAAATTTATAAAATTGAGATAATTTTTAAATACATGCATGAAAATCATGGAGGAAGAGTTTTTGGGAGACATCTTGATAATTAAGTTGAGAAAGCATTAAGGGATGCTAAAGAAAAAAGAAATGGGATAAATGATTAAATTGGAGGGAAAGAGAATATAATTAATGATGCTGTTTGGACAAAGAATGGCTAGTTTGTTATTGGTTGCCCTTAAAGGGTTTTAGAATATTAATAAGAAATATACGAGTTTCTTAATTAACGTGAGTAAGAGAGCTAGGGATTTTAGATTTCATTTTATGAAATGAAAATCAATGAAACAATGCGAAATACAACAGTACTTATATTGGCTAGAAACAGATTAGGTTTGCAATTAAGTAGGCGAAATTATATAATTTGAAATCAGAAACATTATTCCAAACAGTCGATTTGATAGATTAAGCAATTTAACATATAAATCCAGAAGCAGAAAGAATGGAGCTCATTGCTATAACATGTTTATTTATAGCAACTAAATATGAAGAAATATATCCACCTCCATTAGGAGCATTATTAAGAGGAACAGAATTAAGAGTTAAAGAAGTTATTGAAATGGAGAAAGAGATACTTTATAAACTAAACTTTAATGTTATTAGTGATAATACATTAATTTGGTTATAATTGATAGGAGAACTGTTAGGATGTAATAAAAGATATAGGGATTAAATAAAACAAAGATTGATGTAAGTTATTTGATGAAAATAAAAGGTATTTGGCAGAACTTAGTTTATGTAATGATCGGTTTTTAAGTATGAAGAAATCAACAATAGCCTTGACCATTTTTGTGGCAGTGGAAATGTAGTTTGGATATCAGAAGACATAATTCTAATGGGATCGTTTGTCTCAACATTCTAAACCTAGTAAGGATTCTAAGCCATTAAAATTATTTACTTATTGCTTGAAAAATTGAAAATGATTATATACTATATATATTTTCTAATTAGGAATAAGTAATTAAGAAAAAATAATTAAAAATGATTAATATTTAATAATAATGATATATATATATATCATGGTTATTATGACTGTTATTGTTAGCTATGTTGTGATCTTGGTTATTGAGATGGGACTTATTATGGTTGTTAGGATGGTTAATTTGAGGGTTGATGGGATTATGGTTATTATTATTGTTATTAGGGTTATTATGGTCTAGGAGGAGGTACAGGAGGATACTATTAAAATGGTTAAGCAAATTGTGGGACCATTCTAGATGCAATTAGAGGTTATTAGACATATTAAACTGGTTATTGTACATATTAAACTGGTTATTGTACATATTAAACTGGTTGTTGAGCATATTAAACTGATTATTGAATATATGGTTATTAAACTACAGAGACTGCTTATTACACATATTAAGTAGGTTATTAATGTACAACTTATCTTTCTACTGGGTAATATTCTACTCTTTCTTAATATCTATCAACAGGTACATACTCTAAAAAATATTTATTAAAATTACCGGTATATTTTTCTTAGAAAACTTAGGGGATATATTCTGTTTAATATTCAACAGCATAATAATCAGTTACTTTAGTTTCTCTTGGAACATAGGACACTATTTCTTATTCTTCATATTCAATAACAGCTTTTTAATATGGTACATATTCAATTCTTGATTCTCCTTTGATTGATTAATGCTTAATATAATTTCAAAATTTACTTAAGCATTTGGAGCAACTGGAGCAACAGCATATTATTAGACAGGAACAGAAGCTATTGGAGCAACAGACATTTAAGCCACTGGTGCATATTAGATTGGAGCTACATATGATTGTCTAACTGGAGAGGCTGGATAATATGTTGGTGGTGGTAACACTGCATTTGGATATGTGGGAGCTACTTTTCTTGTTTATGGTTAAGGAACTTAAGCTTATTGTTATGGTTATTATGATTAAGGATGATTTGACATTGTTAATTCTTCTTTAAATTCAAAAATTAATATTAAATGTTGTTCTGTCTGATTATTTTAAAAACTTAAAAAATTAATATATAATCCTCTTTCATTATCAAATTTTTATTCGTTAACTATAAGAATTTTGTATTCTCTTTTAACGAATAAATTAATTACGATTATATCATATCGGTAATATACTAATTTTATATATTATTAAAATAGCCAATCTATTATGATCAATTATCAGTTAACATATTGTATTAACATGTATATTCTTTCGACTTATCATTTTTTTTAACAATTCTGAAAATCATTATTTTCAAGATAAAGTTTTTATTTTTGAGACCTTCCATAAATCAAATTGAATAAACAAAGTAGACTAAATGATTTTTCTTTTGTTTTTATCATCAATAACCAATTTGTCTTGTCTCATATTTAATTTAATGGAATTACAAAATACATTACGATCTTATTTAAGTTCGTTTGAAACATATTCTTATGTAAGAGATATAAAATTAAGAGTGTTGTATGGTGATAAGTATGAATATAGTTTCAAATTAGGATGCATATTAAAATAGTTCAATAATGCTTGGCTGCATTTCTTATCGATAATGATGAATCGCCAATTTTAAGACTCTTAGCTCTCAAAGTAACAATCAAACCTTAAATTTATTTTTAGTTTAACAAGGAATTGGCAGAAACATTCAATGAAGATTATATACATATGATGTAAAAAATCGTTCTCCCAAAAATGGAATAGATTGCAATCTTCAAAAAAGAATCACCGGATAATGACAGAGGAAAATATTTCTTTTTAGGATAATAGAAACCTCATTAAGGTATTTGTAGTACAAAAGTAGTTAAGGCAATAAAGAATTACAGGCATTAGGTGATCAATTTTTTCGAGTGACATTAGAATGTATTAGAATTTGGGGTAGATGGTTTCCTTTAGATAAATAACATCATCGCTTAAGTTTATATCGTGTTGCCTATGAAAGATTATATAAAATCGGAGTTCGTTTTCCAGAAATATAATACTTTGATCTTCATTAAGTTCATACAAATTTACCTTCTACATTTCCTCCTCTTTCAATGATGTTACAATTAAAAAGAGTTATGAGTGTTCATCTTCACTCTACAACTAAAGAAATCTGTAGATATTTAGAATCTCATTTACCTGAAGAATATCATTAAACATAATATTCTTCATTTGCTGAATTATTTTAGACTATTGTCAAAAAACATATTCTTCACAAAAATAAATAAGCAAAAATCGCAAGCCTATTTTTAGAAAAAGAATAAATACAAACCCAACCTAAAAAATAAGATAATCATGAAGAATGGACTTAACTTTAAAGACTATAAAGTGAAAATTAACAACTTGAATTACTTAATAATTTGCATCAATAAAAAATGTAAGAATTATAAAAATCAATTATACAAACTTAAAATCAAAATACCCTTTTGTAATTATAAATCAAAGATAAATAATTATTAATTGAAAAATAAGAAACTGAGTGGAAAAATATTGAAAAAAAATTCTTGTCTTTGCTTGAAGAATACAAAAAAACACATTAATCCAAAAATCCTTACATTCTTGCTTAATTTGAAAAAAATGTAAAATTATTTTATAAATTTTAGTTAGCAGAATATAAAATTGAATATGGTCTTAGTTATAAGGAGGTTGATTGTTTTAAGTTAAGAGCAGAGAATGAATATCTTATAAAACAATTAGATGAACAACAAGACTTATATAATTCAATTAAACATGAAAAAGAGGTCTTACTTACAGAAAATAGATTATTGATGAAAAAATTATCCAATTTAACTTAAAAATAAACTTAAGTAGATAAAATAGAACAAGAGCTTCCATAAAATATTGAAGAGTTCAAATTTTATAAACAAAAATCAAATTTAGTTTAATATGAATAAATTATGATTTGTTAAAAGAGATAAATAACATAATTAAAAGATTAACTTTTATAAATGAATGATAAAAAAAACAGTGTTACAAGTTAAACTTGGGGAATTAGTACAAAATCTAATTCAAGAAGAAATATCAATGAATTATAAGCTTGCAATCTTTAATCATCAAAATAATCTGAAATTCAGAAAAGTCCTTATAGATAATCTAAAATTATCATGCCTCCTATTTTAGATTATGATGCAACAATATTTGCTATTAATCCTAATTGTTTTAATACTAGATTTCGATAAGCGTGTTTTACCTAAAAATCTATTATTTATTAAGATGATAATATATAAATTAATACAAATACCTTAATAAAAATAACAACGTTAATTGTAATTCTTACAATACAAAATAAATCGACAATAAAATTAAAAGATTTAAATTTAATATTGCAAAATACAAATTAATTGTAGGTTGAAAAAATAAATGACTTGAAAAATGTAATGAATCCTGATGAGAGTTAAACAATATAAATTCAAATTGAAATTCATGAAATACCATATTCTATTTTAGAAGCTTAACTCACATATATGGATAAAATTATATAATTTGCTATTCCTTGTACAATTAATAAATTTTTGACATTCAATTCTTATTAGAAATTACCAACATCTTATTTCTATTAAAGCAAACCTTTTCTAACTGGGTTCTAGAATTCGATTCCTAATCTTTTACCTGAATTTTAGATATTAAATCGATCTGAGAATGAAATAAATTTATCAGTATTGGCAGAATATAATAATGAAGAATATGATATAATGATTTCTTGTAAAAAATCTATGATGTAAATAAAAATGAATGGTGGCTAAAATGATAAACTTGTTAAAACAATAATATCTACATACTAAGGCTTATTTTTGAAAAGGTGATTTATTTATATATAAATTTATATTTAGATATTGTTAAACATATTTCATTGATCTTATTTAAGATGATATACATATGGTTTATTCTAGATTTTAAATTAATGATCCATAATTGAACAATTTACAAATTTAATGCAATTATCATCTCTATATCCTCCTTCTTCTTCATAAACTCCATAAGCTTCATGAATTCCCCCAAAAACATGAAGTTTAGGTCTAATTTTCTTTACTTTTTCTGCTAAATATCTATCTCCCACTCTTAATCCATAATTAGTTTTATCTCCATAATAAAATGGTGGTCCATGAGTTATAATAACATCAGATCCTTCTTCAATTTATTCCCAAAATTATTAACTACTACCTTAAATTTAAAATGCCCAATCACAATATTCTAAAGTGTATGGACTACCCCAAAACTTAAATCCTTCTATTGTAACTGAAGAATTTATAAGTAAATGACAACATTCCTTTAAATCCTATAACAATTAATCTGGATTATAATTGCTGTATCGATGAAATTTCTTCTTCAAAAAAGGGTATTTCTCTATATCCAAAATGACATCATGATTTCCTGGTACAACTATTTTATATTTATGGGGTTATGCTTTTAACCATGATATAAAATCTTTAATTTCTTATTCATGTCCCCAATTAGTAAAGTCACCACAATGAATAAGTACATCACCATTTTATACATCCACAAATTTAGAATGAGTATCACTTAAACATACAATTTTCAATTCATTCATTTTATAAAATATATTAAAATCCATTTTCATAACGGAGATATTAATATTCAATATTTATTATTGTTTTTTCACTTTTAATGCACTTTAAACATAAATTTATCTTTGATATCTTAGTTACAATAGATGTAAACAATATCATTTTTATTCCTGTACTTGAATATTCAGAATAGTTTTAATTATTTCATAGTATTAACTTAATCTTCAAGTATGGTGTTTCCATGTTTCCAATTAAAAATTAATTTTTCATAATCCCTCCAAATGAAGTAGTTACCATCAGTTGGATAACTTCCTTGAGCAACATTATATTTATTTCAATTATCAAATTATTGACAAAATCTTCCATTATATATAGAAACTGTATACAATAAAAAACAAGAACTATCTATTATAAATTGAATTTTATAAAGTCTTAAAATTAAAAAGGAAGAATAATCCTACCATCAATGTTAAATATTCATTTTTTATCAAAGCATTCTATAAGTCTTTAAACTTTTATACATTCTCTTCCAAATTTATTTATAAACTTTATTCTAATTCCTCTAATTTAACTTATCTATTAATATTATAACCTCTAATCATACTTTATAATTAAATCTTATTATTAATAAATATGATCAAGATCATTTTATTAAGACTTTTTTTTGACAGAAGAAGACTGGTAATTTTTATGAATTTGAGTATAATATTACTATATTGTTAATTATTTTCTTAAGTGAGAAAAACTAAATGTAATAATCTCATTCTTAATTCCAAAAAAATTAATTATTAATAAAGTATGTCAATTAAGTTGTAAGAATTTAAGAATGTTATTTATTAACAGATTATATAAAATTGGTATCTAGTATTAAAAATATCACAAATTAATTTAATTGAAATGACTAAGAAGATTGAAATAACTTTGTGCTCCATTTCATATTTCTATAATGTCCAATAATAAAATAATTATCTTTTATATGATTTTTCTCTTCCAGCCAAGTAAACTAAAATCATATTTATAGTAACAAATAATGCTAAGCAGTTAAAGTTGATTAAATTAAACTAAAAAATGCCACTAAATTAGAACTAGCCCTCGAAATTAAGTAAATATTTTAGTTCAATATAAGACCAGAACAAAATAAACTGTTGGAAAAAAAGAGAAGAGTTTATAATTTTATTCTTCCATTTAAATAATCTAATTCGATCACTTTTCAACTAACATAATTAGTTGCAGAATCAGATGGTTTATCACTAAATTTAAAATCAGATAATTTCTTTAATATTCTAAAAGGATACAAGGACTTAGAAAAACATATTATTAATGATAACATTGTGGATAATTTAATAAATTTTCATCTCCTATTGTGTAAGGAATTAGTGAGAGAAATATATATTATTTGTGATTCACAAGAAAATTTAGTTTCTCGATTTCCTTTTTGTTATTAAAGTTTTGATTTCAACTTTCCCAATGAAATAATTGAAAATCAACTTTATTTAGGAAACAGCAATCATGCAATGAATCTCAAAGCTTTAAATTTATTAGGAATAACTCATGTTGTTAATTGTGCAAAAGAAATACCAAATTATTTCATGAATACATAATAAGATAATATGGACATCTTTAAATACTTCTAAGTTCCTGTTTTAGATTTGGAAGAAGAACCAATTTCTGATCATTTTGATGAGGCTTACATATTTATTAATGAAGCATTAAATCAAAAAGAGAATAAGGTATAAATAAAATTCAATTATTTAAAAGGTTTTAGTTCATTGTGCATAAGGTAAAAGCAGATCAGCAACTATAGTACTAATGTTCTTAATGAGATATAAACAATGGACTTTTGATTAAGCTTATGATTATGCCCAGAAAAGAAGGGAAATTATATCTATTAACGAAGGTTTTCAATTCTAATTGTCATAGATTTGAATCAACATAAGAATTATCTTAACATTTTATTGAACTATGAGATTATTATATTAATCATTCAATTGATTTATTAATCAAATTTTAGTAAAGTAAATCTACAATGTTGAGTTTTTAATCTCATCCATGTAGTTATTCTCCTTACTATTTTCCTAATTTTTATGAATTAAATAAAAATATTTTTTTTTAATTATTTACTAAAATTTTATTCTTTTATTCCATATTTTAATGATTATTTCATACAAAACACTATTCTTTTCTTATAAGTTTAATTCAAACTATTGTAACCTAATTTCAATCTTTTATTCAAGAGTTAGTTTATATGTTTTTAGTTTAATTTGATTTTTTACTTTAACCGATTTTAAGATCATCTATTACAAAATGTTTTATACTTTGAATCTTGATAAATGTTTTTAGGATGGATTTTTTTCTTTATTAAATGTTCAAAACATTAACTTTCCGTCCTAACTATTATAAATTACATGAGTATAAACTTAAAAATCAAACTCTTATTATGATAGTATGTCTTTAAGTAATCTCATTTCATTTTTTTTGAGACTTGAAAGTATACAGTTTTCATCAGAAATTGACATTTTCTTGATCAATCAGTGTTTTAATGGACTCTTGGGGTTTGAAAAAGACATTTAGATTGATTAAATTTTCTTAAAAATTTATAATAAATCTATAAATGCTTAATTTTTTAAATTTCATAGAATTTTTTTGAGTGGTTACATAGTAATCTTGTTTAATTGTAAAAATTAATTGATAATTCAATTATACCAGAATGCTCTAAAGCTTAGAAACAATAAGACCTTTACCACTAGAATGCTAATAGAGGTTCCATTAGCCATTTCAATAGAGTCTTGAATTAAATCAATATTTTATTAGTTTTATTTGAATTTAATAAACATCAATAAATTATTACTCTTTGCTGAGTAAAAATCTTAGGAACTTTCAGAGTAAGTTATTCTTCATATTAAATTTTGAGATAAAACACTTACAGATAAAATAATACATATTATGTTGATATAAGACGAATTTAAATATCATGAAAATTGGCAACTTTTTATTGAAAGAATAGATAAAATGGTTTTATCAATCCAATTAATTATTAAAATATAAATCTAAAATAATAAATTTATCATATTTAGTTTTTTATAACTTTTAAAGTTTATAAATTAACACAATACCACTAATTTCTGTGAGTTTTTAAAAATGCAAAAGATGAAAATTTATTTATATATTCCTTTTACTTTGAACTTTAATAGGTTGATTATTGTAAAAGTAATTTTGCATCTTAATATCGGTTTCACTTTGAAGATTGATTCTAATTCTAAGATTATTAATTTTGCTCAAATTACCTTCTGAAACTTATGTCTTAATTACTTCATCTTGAAAAGTTGATTTTATATTATGTATGCATACCAAGTATCAGTTTATATTCTGTCCATATTTTGCAATAGTTGTTCTGTTACATTCATTAATCTAGTGATTGACTATGGAAATTAAAAAGATTTAAGAACTTAATTGATTTACTTTTCATTTTTATTAATAATAATCATTTTAATAAATCAAACATATCAAGTACTTGTAAGGAAGTTTTTTGTTGAAATATATTCTATTCTATTAAAGTTCTTAATGTTCTTATTTCCTTTTAGAGAGTTATATCAATTGTTATTAATTATTTTCCAATTTTAGAACTCAAAAACTAGTCTAATATTAAAAATTAAGTTCTACAATATTAACCTATAACTTTTTAATTTTATTAATTAGATTCTCTCAAATGATTTGAGAGACTAATAATAATTTGTTGCATCTATTTTTATTATATTGTTAATTATCTTTTTTAGTGATAGTTATTATCATACTTAAATATTGAATTTTTATTTTCTATCATTCGAATATTGTTTGGAGAATAATTATGTTATTTCAAATTTTATTTATTCCTTTTGGATAATTTATGTTCTAATCTTGAAGTATAAATTTCATCCATATTCTTTTTGGTAACTATTTTAGTATCATTATTGATAATATCCTTATTCAAATGAACTTAAGATATTTCATCATCTGGTTTACATTCTGATAAATTTGAAATAATTTCATAAAATGATTTTTTTAAATTAGAATTACCATTTCTTAAATTTTGAAATTTTGGAGTCCAATTATTTAATTACTTTAAATTTTCTGATAATTAACCAGGTGCATTATCACTAATATTACTCAACTAATCATTATCAAATGAATTATTTGAATTACTTAAATTTAATCTCTCAACTTCTTCTTCTGATTAAGAAATATTAGAAATTCTATTAATATCTTCATCAAAATAAATTTGCTAAGATTTTATTATCGAATTTCTAATTGAAATCAATTACTATTTCTTTAATAATTTATATAAGAAAATATTACGAATTTAAGGTAAAAAACAAAGCATCAAAGTTGAATAAGTAATAGGAACAAGTTAAAAATTAATAAGAAACTATTAAATCATTAAATTTTTGGTTAAAATTGATTTATCTAATAAAGATAATTTAGTATAAGGGTTGATACTACAAAAATTAAAAAGATTTTAATCGTTAAGTTATCTTATTTGTGAAGTATTCCATTCACTACAGTATTGTAAAGTAACAAAATTATTTTTTTCAACGAGAATTTCTAAACAAGTTTATCCTTTTAAATTTTAATGATTTACATCAAATGGTTATTATAATAAAACTTAATAAAACTATTTGACTCTTTTGTGATCACTAAAAGCACTTGCAATATGTAATGGTGTTTCTTTAAAAATATCATACTGTGCAGGATTGGCACCAGAATTAATCAAATCTTATAGTAATTCTACTTAACAATGTTATGCTGCAATATGTAAATTAGAGGATTACAATCCTCCTCCTAAATTTAAATTAATTTTGTATTAAAGTATCAATTTAACTAATCGATAATACTTTTTTTCTATAGCTAAACTTAATGGAGTATGTCCTTTAAGATCAATTTGATTTGCTAATTCCAAATGATGATTTAATAAATATTCTAAAATTCCAATTTCATCATATACAATAGCCAAATGCATAAGATTCTAAATTTATTGTCCATAAAGATACTTATTTATAATCATTAATGTAATTCAATTATGTCTCATGTAAATGGTAATTCAGCTACTCCTTGATTTGGGTTAGGAGTTGTTCATTTTGAGAATCTATTGAGAGGTAAGGTTTTTTGTACTTATACTATCATTTAGAATATCTCCTTAAGTAACACTAATTACATTACTGATTGATTTATAATTCATTATATATGATTCAAAAGTTAATTCATCAGATATCGCTTCTACCAATGTGAAAAATACTTTCAATTTCTAATCATCTAATATAAAATCTAATTAAGATTAACAAAATATTCCCCAACCTAATCCTAAAACCTCTAAAGTACTATTTAACTCTAAAATTTATTTAGTTATATTAGTAAAGTAATTTTATTATATATAAAGTTTCTTTAGATGTAATTTACATATAGAAGGATCTATTTATTTCAACAAATTCTTTGCTATATTAAGAATTGATAATCTAGGAACATCAGTACATTAAATTGGTCCAAAATTATGTAACTAATTATCTTCTAATGAGAGATTTTGTAATAATGGGGTTTTTTTTAATAAATTCATGTCAAACTCTTTTAATTTATTTTCATTTAACATTAAATATAAAAGACCATTCCATATCATTGCATCCTTTTATAGTAAACTTTTTAGTTACATTAAATATATTTAATCCTTATCTTGAATAATCTAAAAGTAATTGTTGTTATTAATTTTGAGAACTAGCTTATTTAGTAGCTTAGAAACTACGTTAAGTTACAAATTTGACTTATAATGGACTTCGTTAACGCTTGTTTTTACCTGATTGCATTGATAGGCATTATTCAAAAGTTTCATTCATTTTATATATTATTATGAAATAAATCACTTTTTTAACAAACATTTTAGTGTTAATTTACTTAATGGCATATGCTAGAAGGATTTTTTTAAATTAGTTTCAGTGTAGCATCGCTAACTCATCTATTTTTAATCTTTTTCATCTGATTACTCAAGTATAGTAAGTAATTGAGTATTATTATTGTTAATCATTCCTACAGAAGAGTGTTTTAGATCAGTCATTTAAGTTTTAAAATCTGTATATATCTCATCAATAACAACATTTGTAATGACTTTCAAATTTTATTTGAGTATATTTAAATTTAGTACATAAGAATCAACTATTTTGTCTTTTTGTTATTTGTTAAGTACATTCATAATATGTGAGCGTTCATTTTAAAAGATTGATTCAAAGAGAGACTTAATTTAGATCATGAATTTAGACTAGACCAACCTCATTAAAACAGATTAGATGTCATTAAATTTAATGATTTCTCTCTCTATTCGTTAAATAAAATCATTCATTTTAATTAAATATATCATCCCATAATCTATTGTTCATTGTTTAAATACTATTGAGGGTTAAAAGTGACTTCTTAATGGAGTAAGAATTTATCATCAAAGTTTGTATCAGGTTCACAAGGATCAGTGTATAGAATTTCTTGAGTAAAATAAGACTCATCTTCATTTAAGCACATTTTTTTCAGAAGTTGGCTGCCTAAATCATTCAAATCTTCCTCTTAAGATGTAGTTCTTGTTACAATTTCAAAAAGACTCTGCTGTTGTGCTTTTCTGTTTCCAACTTTGAAATATTTTCTATTTTAGTTGACATCCATAGTTGTACTCTGTTAAATTAATTTATTATATAAAATTAATCATTCTTTAGCTATTTAAGAAATGGGCTATTTATTTTAACTCTTGGTTTCAATTTCAACCATTAAAATATCCCCAATCTTAAATCCATGTTCTTTAAGATCTGATTCATCATCCTTCCCTGATTTCACAGAATGGACTATCCCTAAATCCTTTTTCTTTTACACTCCATGTTAATCCAAATAAACATTGCTCACTTTAAATGATATATCTCTTCTATAAACACCATCTAATTGATATTTTAATTGATCTACAATATCTCTCAATTTAGAACTTAAACTATTAATTTTCTTATAGTATTAATTATTACAATAAGTAAAGCAATATTTCTTAAGTTTAATTTTTATTAAAGTCTTCTAAAGTAATTTATCCATATTTCCAATGTGTTCTTACTAAAAAAGGTACTTAATGCTAAAATTATTTTTTCATTTACCTTGTCCTTTTCATTTTAATTTCTATTATCTCTAAATCGTCCATATCTACTATGGATTCCATCAACCTTTATTTGATCTTTTTTATTTGATGCCATTTAATAAAATAGTGTATTATAAAATTATTAATAAATAAATTATATATATATTTATAGACTGTTATCCATTACATAATATAATTATTCCTCTTACTAATAATGCATAATTTGAACATATAGTTCTTTATAAATAATCTAAGCACTATATTTAATAATAGGATAGTATTAATTGTAAAACTTGTTAAATCTGATTTTATACATTTAATAAATTTAAACATAATATATACCTGAAAATTGATAAAGAATAGTTGTCCTTTTTATAATTAATTCTAGAAACCCTTTTGGAGAGTTTTAGATTTATTAAAAAATAAATTCATTAAATACATAGAGAATTTAATATAATACAAATTTTAATATTTATATGCCTCCTAAAAGTAGAAAACTAGAGCTCAATTCAAATCAACTCAAGGTAAAATGAATATTTTGATTAGTCGAGAAAGAAGGAAATACTGCATTCCTGAATAGATAATATAATAAAGCAATTATTTTATATACAAAAGCTCTTTGTAAGCTGATTATAAAAATGATTTTTTTAGAGATTGAAGAGAACCCTATTTGTTATAATAATCGTTCGCAAGCATATATCCAGACAGAAGAACTAGAATTAGCTTTACAAGATTGTAATAAAGCATTACAATTAAATCCAGGTTATGTGAAAGCAATCACTAACAAAGCATAAGTGTTATATGAAATGGGTTATGTTTAAGTAATCTTTTAAACTTATTGTTAGGAAGCTATAGAATGTTTGTAGAGCA